AAACAAAAAGTTACCTACAAAGGACAGCCAGTAAGAATAAGCTCTGATTTCTCAGCAGAAACCATGCAAGCGAGAAGGCAATGGGATAGTATATATAAAAACACACGTACATATAAACAACCAAAACTTTTGGCCACTAAATAAACAAATAGGCCAGATTTTTATCTGATAAATTACAGAAACAAATCTCACATTTGAGGCTTGGACATGAATACAACCACATCTTTGAAGTCATGGAATTACTGTAACAAAAGGTGATTATGGCATCTTATGACTTCTTGTATATAGTAGACATAGTTTAAAACAGACTAATGAAACATAAAATCTAGCATGTCCCCTAATTTTTTTTACAATGTAATTTATGGTATTTCAAAATCAACTGCATGCTATTAAATAAGGGAACAGTTTTAGGAAAATAAAAATTATTACTTTTATTAAGTCTAAAGCACATTGATCATAATTATTAGCAGCTAATACATATCTTAGGAGGTCCAGTGGCACAGTGGTTAAAGAATTTGGCTGCTAACCGGAAGGTTGGTCATTCAAACCCACCAGCCACTCTGTGGAAGAATAATGAAGCATTTTGCTTCCATGAAGATGTACAGCCTTGGAAACCCTCTGCATAGTTATACTCTTTCCTATAGGGTCACTATGAGTCAGAATTGATTCAATAACAGTTTTTTTTTTTTTTTTTTAAATACATATGTTGAACAGTTAAGACAAAAAGTTGGTGGATCGAACCCACCCCTAGGCACCTTGGAAGACAGACCTGGCAATACGCTTCCAGGAGAGCACAGCCTTAAAAGCCTTAAGAAGCACTTCCACTCCACACAAAGGGTTCACCATGAGTCCAAATTCACTTGGCAGCAACTAACAACAGTGCACATTGAGAGTCTATTGTCTACAGACACTGTTGTAAGTGCTTTACTTACATTAATGCAGTTAATCCACGTAACAACCACAGCAAGTAGGTACCATTTTTATCCCCATTGAAGAGATGGAAGAGCTAATATATAGAGAAGTTAAGTAACTTGTGCAAGTACACACAGCTTGTAAGTGGCAGAGACAAGTTTCAAGCTCAGGTAGTTCTGTGATTTCCACTACTATGCTCACCATTAGACTTTTGGTTGTATTTGTGCTCCAAGATCATTCACTTATTTGACCAAATGAGCGTTTATTTATCATTTAAAAAAAAAAAAAAACCCTTACTAAGACATTCCTTTCCAAATATATAAACATTTATATATGCCAGACACTGTCCTAAGTGCTTTATACAAATCAGTTCTCTCAACCTGACATTCTGACAAATGTGTGACCTACAAAGCACCACTTGCTATACACTGATGTAGATATGTTTAAATAATAATTGGATCCTTTTGCCACTCATTTGAAACCAACTCTCTGCTAGCCTTGTCCCATCTGTTCTTTATATCCTTGCTGTTTCCATGGAAAATTGCTCCTAAGAGTCTGTCTTTCTCTTTTCTGGCCTGAATGCCAATTTATGTTTGCTCTTTAAGGGCAAAATACTGTTCAATGATAAATCAGAAATATTTCTAAACAATACAGTGTACTTCCTGAAGCTAGTGCTTGTGTGTATAACACATTAAAAGCAAGTTCAGACACATTTAAAAAAAATAATTTAATGGCAACTCTTGTGACTTAATGATAATGCTCTGCATATTGTTAGATATAAACCCAGGTTAGAGTTCAAGTAATAGTGCAAACCCCCTGCTTCTCCTTTCTAGCCATGGAATGTCCAGTAAATCATCAGTCATAGACTTGAAGCTCTGAATTTTCAGAGAAGAATTCTATATGGTTTTTAGCTAAAAGAATCCCAGGTGCTCCAGATACTAGATGAGGTAACGTTTTGGCAACACTGGCAGTTCTTCATGTCCTATGGAAAATGACTTTTCTTCTCTTCCATGGAGCGTGGAACTAGGGGAACCATGCATAAATATCCACTTTTGTAAGAAGTATCAGAAATAACTTTTTTCTTGTGAGTAGAGTCAGTGCTGTCTGTCATTTGCTTTGCCTTCTTCCCTCATGGAGAGAGAGCTGGGTTATAGGTACACAAAGGCTACCACCTCATGATATTAGATTGTTCTGAGTCTGAGGGGCTTCTTGACCTCCAGCAAAGGCACTGATCCAAACCACATGAATAATGCACAACATGGAGGAGCTTCACCTCTGTGAGGCATGGGCACAATTCATAGACAATTCACACTAGATGCCAGTCTTTGAGGCAATCCAGTCTCGATACATAGTCACTCTTGTGTAGACTCCAGGTTTTTTGGGGAGTGCACATGATTGTCCCCAACTTACTATACCTACAAGGTACCAGATGTCATGATTGTCTGGATAAACTAGAGGTCCACCAGAGTCACCCTGCAGGAAAAAAAAAAAATTAAATGTCCAATTAACTGATTTAATTCAATAGAAGATCATTGTAATCATTTCTTTTTCCACAGGGGAGGGGGAAAAAAAAAAGTAAACTGGTATGTAGAATGTAAAACCCACATGAGATGGATCATATACTGTTTCTCTCAACTGAGCAGGAGCTCTGCTAGTGTGGTGCCTAAGGCACTTGACTGCTAACCAGAAGGCTGGCGGTTCAAACCCACCAGCGACTTCTCGGAAGGAAGGTTGGGCAATCTACTTCCATAGTGATACTGCCTTGGAAATCCAAGGAGGGGTCGCTATGAGTCGGGTCCAATTCATCAGCACATAACAACAACAACTGAACTGAGTTAAAATTTTATGGTAAACTTTAAAGTATTTTGTTTTGTTTTTGAATAAGACTAGTATTCATTCATGTAAAACAGTTACATTATTTCTGGTTCACAATTCTTGGATTTTTTTTTCTAGTTTGATTAAACACTTTATGAATGGTTTAGTAAGCAAGTATATGAAATGTGAAATATGTAATTGGTATTAATGGGTGTTGTTGTTGTTGTTGTTATGTGCCGTCGAGTCAGCGCCGACTCATAGCGACCCCTCCTTGGGTTTCCGAGGCAGTATCACTACGGAAGTAGGATTGCCCACCCTTCCTTCCGAGGAGTGGCTGGTGGGTTTGAACCGCCAGCCTTCTTGTTAGCAGTCAAGTGCCTTAGGCACTATGCTACCACAGCTCCCAGGTATTAATGGGTATAGGTTGAAAATTTCAATGATCTCTTCTGAAAGTTAATGTTCTCTTGGCTGTACTTTATGTTCTTGTTCTTTATTTCCTTTTCTTTTGCTCACCTATGTCTAATTTACATTTCATGCTGAATTTTATGTAAACTCCCTTAAAAAATTTTGAAACAAAGAATATTAAGTAAATAAATACATGTGTAGAGATTAAAGATGTAGGCTTTGTTACTGAACTGTCTGATCTTCAGTCTCAGTTCTATTAATCACTGGCTCTGTGACTTTAAGTAAGATCTTAACCACTCTGTTCTTTTTCTACTTTGCTTATTTATTCATCCTTTTATCTTATTGAATTCCTACAATGCATTTTGTTGAGTGCTGGGGAGACAACGATGAACAAAACAAATGACCCTATGCTCACAGAGCTTGCAGTTTAGTCTAAGAAACCAATATTAAATAAGATCACAAATAGATGCAAAATTACAACTGTGATTTAAAAAAAAACAGCAAACCAGTTATTATGGAGTCTACTCTGACTTATGGCAACTCATGTGTGTCAAAAGGCAATTCTGCTTCATAGAGTCATTTAACTGCTAACCAGAAGGCTGGCAGTTCAAACCCACCAGCCACTCCTTGGAAGGAAGACTGGGCAATCTATTTCCATAGAAATGCTACCTCAGAAACCCAGGGAGGGGTCTCTATGAGTCAGATCTGACTCCACAGCAGTGAGTTTGGTTTCTTTTGGTTTTAGAGTGTTCTTTGGCTCATTTTTCAGAAGCAAATCTCTAAGCCTTTCTTCTAAGGCACTTCTTAATGAACTGGAACCATCAACCTTTCAGTTAGCAACTGAGCCCTTAACTTTGCATCATCCAAATATACCACAACTGTGATAAGGGCTATGAAAACATACAATGTGAGAATTTGACTAGTCAAAGGGATCAGGAAGATCTTCCCTAAGGAAGAGCAATTGAACTGATATCTGAAGGAAGACGAGTTAACTAGAGAATGACAAGTCAGGATGAAATATGTTCTTGGCAGATGGAATAGCTCTGGAAGGAAGTAACTTGACAGGCAGAGGAACTGAAAACCAGGCAGAGGGACAAGACAAGAGAGCACAAGAGGACATGTGGAGTATAATGAGGCTAGAGTGATAGGGAGAGATTAGTCCACGTGGCTGCTGGTGGGTCTTGTTTAGAAATTTTTGTTTTCTGTCTTAATATAGGAAAGTAAGCCACTGAAGCATTTTAAGAAGGGGTGTTGACATGATCATATTAGTCTGTTGTTAGAAATCATTCTGGCTTTTGTTTGACTAACACTGAAGGGGCATAAGACTGAATATGGAGAACTAGACACCAGCTCGAGGGCTAATATAGTTGTCCAGAGGAGAGAGAAAGAGGTAAAGGCAAGAGCTGTAAGGTTAAATTCATGGGCTTACATAATCAGTTGAATATGGGATAGGGAGAGAAGGTTAAAATGGCTGTTAGCCTTCCAGTTTGCTTAACAGAATAAAAGGAGATGCTATTCACAGAGGTGCAAAACATAAGAAGGATCAGGTTAGGTGGGAAGAGAAAAAAAGCAGAAACAGATGCAGCATGTTCAATTTGAGACGCTTTTGAAATATCCATTTGGAGTTGTCAAGCAGGAGTTGGATACATGTGTCTGGAACTCAGGGAAGAGATTGGGACTGGAAGTATGTATTTATTAGTCATGTGCACAGAGGTGGTACTAAAGCTGCAGAGGAGAATTAGATCCTCTAGGGAGAAAATAGAGAGTAAAAAGAGGAATAGACATAGTATAGATCAACACTGAATGGCTGAGGTTAGGGGAATGAGCCTGAAAAAGAGAGAGGAAAAAGAACAGACAAATGTAGGATAAAAATTACAAGCCAAAGAAAGACAGCATTTCAAGAAAGAGGGACAGCTGAGCATTATTAATGGCTTCTAGAAAGTAAAAATAGAAGAGGAATGAAAAATATTTATTGGATTTTAAAAACATAAAGGTCATTGGAAACCTTAGGAAGAACTATTTTGGTGGACTGATAGGGCAAAAACTATACTGAAATGATTTGAGGAGTTAGTCAGAGGTGAGAAAATTGAGACAATGATCATAAGCTTTTTTTTTTTTTAATATGCTATGGTAAAAGGGTTAAGCTGTGGTGGTATCTGGAAATATATTCTGAGGCTTCAAGAAAGAGCTTTTCTCTTTTTTCCCCTCTCAGAAGGCTGGTGGTTCAAACACACCAGCCACTCCTCAGAAGGAAGATGGGGCAATCTACTTCCGTAGTGATACTGCCTCGGAAACCCAAGAGGGGTCACTATGAGTCGGATCTGACTCAATGGCACATAACAACAACAGCAACTAATTTGGAAGATGTAAAAAAGAGGAATATCCAGTTACAAGAGAAATGCTTATTGTGAAAAAAGAGGAAATGATTGTCAGCGCACACTTCATGCAAAGACCAAAGAGAGTGGGACCAGAGCACAAGAAAAGGGGTTAGTTTTAAAGGGAAGAGGTGGCTTCTCTGTTGGGCCTAAACAGAAGCTGGATGATATGAGTCCAGATGAAAGCAGGGTTGCATGCTTGATGCTGGGAAAATAAGCCAATTGTCCTCTTATGACTTCTATTTTTCTTTGAAAATTTTGAAAGAAAGTCATCACAGAGAGTAGGGGCAAATTGGAAGTTAAGGAAAATGGGAAATGTTGGGAAAATTCAGAGAATGGTAGATATGGAAAAACAAACAAACAGAAAAATAATAAACATATTAGGCTACCTTTGCTGTCTGGACTCTACAGTGGAGCCAATGTGATATTTTCTCTGAGAGTATTTGACTATCTGGGTACAGGCAAAGAAGGTGGATAGTTGAGTTCTTTCAGCTGTGAGATTTTGCCAGTTAGACATACTGGAAAGAATGAACTAGTGAGTTTGTGGTATTAGCAAAAGTGCTAAGAATTTGTGATTTTTCTAATTTGTGAAATAGCGATAATTGTATGTTTCTGTATCTTTAGTAGTATGTTTCTATCTCATTATATCAAATGAAATAATTTATTAAGACATGCTTAACACTTAGATTGGTATACTCAATACAATGATTTTTATTGTTATGATTATTAAATAATCTTAGTCTGTGGTGAAACAGATGCTATTTTTTTTCTTCCTGGTAAAATGTGTGCTAAACTTAGAAATAGTTAATGGAAATTGACATAAAAATTTCCTTTAAGAGTATTGTTGTTCACTTTGAACTTACCTTGCAAGCATCTACTTTTCCTGCCATGAACCCTGCACACAACATTCCTGGAGTTATCAGTCCATCATACACATCCTTCCTATTACATACTTCAGTGCTTATGGTTTCTACTCTGGCTTGCCGAAGCCTATTTTGTGTAGGTCCTATTAAAATAAATAAATAAATAAATGTGTCTAAGACATATATTCCAAGGAGTAAAAACCTAAGATTATTTTATTAACATTAATTAATAAAATTATCACCAAATTTTATTCTCCATATTATAAATATCTCCATGCAAGGAACCTTAAACATACATGTCTCAGTATTATATAATAGTTACAGATCTGTAAAAGTTATTGAGCCCCTTAAAACTGAGTACAAAATTTCATGTATATATGTATACATACATTCATACATTCTTTTTCATGATGAGAAAGTCATAGTTTTATTTTATTTTTTATTTTTATTGTGATTTGGGTGAGAGTTTACAGAACAAATTCCCTTTCCATACACTGGCTCACATACACTTTGTCTCATGACATTGACTGCAATTTTTCCACAATGCAACAGCTCTGCTCCCACTTCCTCCCCATAGTTACCTCTTCCCTGTGTCCTTCCCTCCCATGCACTCCTACCCCCTGAGCTATCTCCCTGAGCATACACAGCTTTTCTATTCTGCCATGATTGATCTCTCCAAGGAGTGTATCTATCTAATGGAAACGTTCAGCTCATATGCCTGTCTTTTGTTTGGCTGGAAACCACAGGAGTGGGTTTAATTCCAGACCTGAAGGACAGCTGGGGGCCATAGTCTCAGGGGTTCCACCAGGCTCTATTGGACAAGCAAACCTGGTCCTTTTTTTTTTTTTTTAATGATTTTGATTTTTGTTCCACATTGTTCTCCCACTCTATCCAGTATTGCCAGCAGAGATCCCCTTCTGACTGGTTGACAGGTAGCCAGCCGCCATCTAGTTCTTCTGGTCTTATAGTCGTAGGCTGAGGATCACATGGTGTATCAGTTGCTTGGACTAATTGTTTCCATGCATCTTTGGTTTTCTTCATTCTTCTTTGCTCTGGATGAGGAGAGACCCATCACTGCATCTAGATGGTGACTTGCAAGCTTTTAAGATCCCAGTTGCTACTCACCAAAGTAGGACGTGGAACAATGTTTTGGGTGGTATGCTATGCCAATGGAGCTGGATGTCCCCTGCAACTATAGTCCCAAGCCCAGAGGTCTAACTAGTTGCTCCAACTAGGTAGGTGTCTGTGGCTAAGAAGTGACTACAACTTTGCCCCTTATCAGCTCTACCATATACCTGGGAATTCTTACAGAACATACAAATCCACTTGTAGAAACATTGTCTGCCAACCCTATATACATGGTCTTGGACACACTTTCCCCTGCATAGGCATACCTAATAGTTCAGCCTGTCCACCCATCTATCCATCCATATACCCATGTTTGCCTTCACTGACAGTACAGTACTATATGTGCAAAAGGGTTCATCTTTGATTTCTGTGCCTCCCATGCACTCTCTACATCTTTTTCCTCAATGACATCATGTTGATCACTCAGATTTGGTACACTGCCCTTCTCTTCACCCAAATCAATCTTTGTCTCTACCTATCTAACAGTGTTCCCTCCCCTCCCCTGTCACCCCTGGTAACCAACAAAGAAAATTTCTTTCCATATATAAACGTTTTAAATTTTCAAAGAAATCTTTCACTTTGGTTTTATCTTTTTTAACTGGCACATTTTCCATATAAGGAAACTGGGACTCAAGATGGTTCATTGATTTCCCAAAAAGTATTAAAGTAAGATAAAAGACCGTGGACTCTGTTAGCTATACTCTATGGGGTAGTATGCTATTTAGGGGTATGAGAAACAGAGAGGATACCAGATATATGGCAGCAATCTGATGCCAGCACAGAGCAGGGCCAGGAACATAAAGAGCTAGATGCATCACCTGGAAACTATGGGGAAGGAAGTTAAACACTGACTACAGGAAAGGAAGTAAGTTAAGGCTACTGATTCATGCTGTCAGTGAACTAGAGGTAAGGTGGAGGGTGGGGGAGAAGAAAGTGAAATTAGAATGCTTAAAGCATTTGGGAATTTCTTTAATGTAAGATAGTTCCATCAAAAAAAACAAAAAGCTGGGGGCCAGGTTTGCTGGTCCAATAGAGCCTGGTGGAACCACTGAGACTATGGCCCCTAGCTGCCCTTCAGATCTGGAATTGAACCCACACCTGTGGTTTCCAGCCAAACAAAAGACAGGCATATAGCTGAACATTTACCTCAAGTAGATATGCTCCTTGGAGAGAACAATCATGGGAGAAAGAAGGGCTGCTTATGCACAGGGAGACAGCTCAGGGGGCAGGAGTGTATGGAGGGATGGACACTGGGAAGAGGTAACTATGGGGAGGAAGTGGGAGGGGAGCTGTTGCATTGTGGTAAACTGTGGTCAATGACATGAGACAAAGTATATGTGAACTGCTGTATGGAAAGTAAATTTGCTCTGTAAATCTTCACCCAAATCACAATTTAAAAAAAAAAAGAAAGAAAAAAAAAATGCCAGGGTTTTTTTTTTTAAAAAAAAAAATAAACACAAAAAGACAAAAAGCACTAAATGAAAGCATATTAGCATTTGTCTCCTAATTTCTACCACTGATAGAACCTTAAACATATTTCTTCATTTCTCACCTTAAATATTTAAAAATAACATTTCTCTTTAGAATCTAATACCTAAAAATCTTAAGTTCTAGTCTTCAGTTTAGGTGATTGGGTAGAACTATGTAACTGTGAAGGAGCCGTGGTAGCGTAGTGCCTAAGGCACTTGACTACTAACCAGAAAGCTGGCAGTTCAAACCCATCAGCCACTTCTCAGAAGGAAGGTTGGGCAATCTACTTCCATAGTGAGACTGCCTTGGAAGTCCAAGGAGGGGTTGCTATGGGTCAGGTCTGACTCCACAGCACATAACAATAACAACAATGATGTAACTGTGAGGTGCTGTGGCCCACTAAGATGTGTGGCACTCTTGGGGGGGGGTGTTGTTGTTGTTAGGTGACATTGAGTCAATAGTGACCCTATTTACAACAGAATGAAACACTGCCTGATCCTGAGCCAGTCTCAACATCCTTGCTATACCTGAGCCTATCATGGCAGCCACTGTTTCAGTCCATCTCGTTGAAGATATTCTCATTTTTTGCTGACCCTCCATTTTACTAAACATGATATCCTTTCTCTGACTACATGACCAAAGCAAGTGAGATGAAATCTGACCATCTTGCTTCCAAGGAGTATCCCAGCTGCACTTCTTTCAGGAAAGATTTGTTACTTCTCCTGGCAGTCCACAGTATTTTAAGTATTCTTTTCCAACACTGCAACTCAAAAGCATCAACTCTTCTTCAGTCTTCCTTATTCATTTTCCAACTCTCACATGCATATGAGGCGATTGAAAACACCATGGCTTGAGTTAGGCACACCTTAGTCTTCAAAGAGACATCTTTGCTCTTCAGCACTTTAAAGAAGTCTTTTGCAGCAGATTTGCCCAGTGCAATATGTCATCTGATGTCTTGACTCTGTTTCCATTGGTGTTGGTTGTGGAACCAAATAATATGAAATCTTTGACAACTTCAAACTTTTCTCCATTTATTGTGATGCTTCTTTTTGGTCACGTTGTGAGGACTTTTGTTTTCTTTATATTGAGGTGTAATTCATACTGCAGACTGTGGTCTTTAATCTCCATCAATAAATGCTTGTAAATGCTTCAAGTCATCTTCACTTTCAGTAAGCAAGGTTGTATCAGCTGCATATCACAGGTTGTTAATGAGTCTCCCTCCAATGATTATGCTGTGTTCTTCTTCATATACTTCACCTTCTCACATTATTTGCTCAGCATACAGATTGAATAAGTATGGTGAAAGGATACCACCCTGACACACTGCCCTCCTGATTTTAAACTATGCAGAATCCTCTCGTTCTCTTTGAACAAGAGCCTCCTGATCTATGAGTGAGAATTCCTCACAAGCACAATTAAGAGTTCTGGAATTCCCATTCTTCTCAACGTTACCCATAATTTGTTATGATCCACACAATCAAATGTTTTTGCATAGTCAATAAAACACAAGTAAACATCTTTCTGGTATTTGCTTTGAGCCAAGATCTATCTGGCATCAGCAATGATATCTCTTATTCCAGTCCTCTTCTCAATCCAGCTTGAATTTCTGGAAATTTCCTGTCAATATATTGCTGCAACCATTTTTTTAATTGTCTCCAACAAAATTTTACCTGCAAGTGATACTAGTGATATTGTTTGATAATTTCCACATTCTTTGGGATCACCTTTCTTTGGAATGGTTACAAATATGGACCTCTTCCAATCAGTTGCCCACATAGCTGTCTTCCAAATGGAAATAAGGTGTATGGAACCCTACCATGGGGATTGGTCAGTTTTACCATCTTGTTTTTGTTGTTGTTAGGAGGCCTAGAGTCTTCTCAGACTCATAGCAACCCTATGCACAGCAGAACGAAACACAACCCAGTCCCGCACCAACTCCTCAATCCTTGCTATGCTTGAGCCCATCACCACAGCCACTGTGTCAATCCATCTCATTGAAGGCCTCCCCCTCTTTTGTCAACCTTCCACCTTACCAAGCATGACATCCTTCTACAGGGAATGGTCCCTTCTGATAACTTGACCAAAGTAGGTGAGATGACGTCTGGCTATTCTCACTTCCAAGGAGCATTTTGGCTGCACTTCCTCCAGAACAGATTTGTCAGCTCTTTCAGCAGTCCTTGGTACTTTCTTTTACCATTTTGGTAGACTTAAAATGAACCATCCCAGAGGTGGAAAGGGAGAGAATCTCACTGCCATCAAGGGAGAAGAAACAAGAGAGGAATATATTCTTGGACCCTAGATCCCTGTACTGAGACAGCAGAGAGGTAGCAGAGAGTCAGTAGCAGCAGAATCAAGGAACAGGCATAAGATGGAGCCACAGAGCCCGAAAGCTGCATATCTTTGGTCAGAAGGCATGTTGGTGGAGTGTGGTGCACGTATTGTGGAGCTAAAAGAGCTTTGTGACACTTGGCCTGAGCAGGGCAGAGGCCAGGCCAAGGGGCCAATGGGAGGTGTGTCTGAGGGCATGGCCAAGGAGAGGTTGTCCTGATTGAAGTATTGTATCCTGAACATTCCTGAACCTGAATTGTAAGCTATTACTTCCCAAATAAACCCCATAATCATGAGTCTGTGAGTTCTGCGCGCTCATTGCAACAAATAACAAATTAATTGATTTTTCAGTGAAATTGATATCAGAATTGGTAAAAAGGTTGGAGGCATGTCTGACCTCTGCCTCATAGGACTTAGCCTTGGGTTAATGCTGCTGGTGGTGATTCTTTTTTCCCCTCATGAAGTAAGAGGAGGTCAGATGCCACTGCCCCCCATGCTCTTTTTGCACTATCTTTTAATACTCTTTAAAAGGTGGGATAGAGGAAGAAAACACAGATTCTATTAACTTACCAAAATGAAAATTCTCCAAATATTCACAAAGCCTTTTCATATTTATTATCATTTTAAATCCTCATTAAAATTAGAAAAGATTTAGGCAAACAAAACACTGTCATTAAGATTGTGGTTTAAAGTATATGCTAACCAGTAGTATTCACATCTGGGAGTATACAGTTTTTATTTACTCCCTTACACTCCCATATTCTTTTCTTCTAATTTGTCTCTTTCATTTTGTACCCCTGCTCCAATTAATTGTGAACTCCTCAAGAATAGGGACCCACAGCCCCTGTTCTGTCCTGCACCATAAACATTATTTTTATGAAAAGCCTTAAGAAGGATTCCTTAAGACAGCTTGTTAGATCTCAAGGCAAATATGTTTTAAGTAAATCAGATTGAAATTACTCACCATCATCTACAATGGATCCAAATCCCGTGACAAATACACTTGTGTTAGGTGGCAACTTTATTGATGAATCCGGGAGGCAAACTCTCTGGACTATATTTGAAAACTCAAGTCCAGTAGCAAGCTGGGCCAAAGCAATGTCATTTTCATTCGTTTCTCCTTGGTAATTTTCATGAAGGATAATTTTCCTCACATATTTTTTCACTTCTGGTGGTTCTATAGTTATACCAAAAGTAGCAATCCATTGACTTGGATCTTTATTTCTGCAAGAAAGAAAAAATCGAAGAGTATATTTGTGATGCTTAACTTTATCTTATAAAGTGATTTTTGATGCTTAATTTTATTTTATAAAAATGATTGAGAGTGTATTCCTTCCCAACTATTGTGGTTGCTGCTGAAAAACTCCCGTGGTGAGAGAATTTGTAGTTGATGACTTTTGAGGAAAAAGAGATTAAAAACATTGATGCTAAAGTGAAAATTGAAAGTTCCTCAAAATATTTTACATCCTCTAAAATTAGTAAGATGCCATGACTACTAAATGGAATTTCAGTACTTTATTTATCTGGATTAATGATAGTGGTGGGAACTACACAATCAATTTCTAGTGTTTTCATTCCTTGCTTGCTAGAAACCCTTTGGGTTATTTTTCTTTGATAATCTCAGTGAAATGTGTAGAATTTAATTTTTATTTGTTTTGGATAACATGCTTATGAAGGTGCATTATCCCTCTGTGTCAAATTCTTGATTCATTCCTATTTTATGACTTAGTTATTGATTCTTGGTCAGTAGATCTTATTGTACATGCAATTTATCTACTTCACATACTATCATATGTACACAGGGTTGTTTCTCCATCCTACACCCCCACACCACCCTAATATTCAAGGTTCTACATAGCTCTAACTTGATGTCATGCTCTTAGAGCGTCTACCACCCTTTCATCTGGCTTAGTCAATTCCTCTTACCAGACTCTCAACTTTTCCCTCACCAAGATGCTTTTCTCTCACAAAGTTCATAACAAGCAAATTATATCTAGTCCTGTCATCTCTTTATCTCTCTGTTCTTCCACAAAGACTAAAATCCAAAACCCACTGACACTGAGACAATTCTGACTCATAGCAGCTCCCATAGGGTTTCCAAGGCAGTAAGTCTTTATACAGAAGCAGACTGCCTCATCTTTCTCTGATGGAATGGCTGCTGGGTTCAAATCTCCAATCTTGGTTAACAGGCCAATGCCTTAACCACCACACCACCAGAGCTCTTTTCCCAAAGACTCGTTCTCTTTCTAACTATTCCCGTCAAGAATGATTGAAAATGTAGATAAACTTTAATTTCTCTGTGTGGAGGGAAGTTATGTAGAAGGATATTATACAGAGAATAATTCTAAAGGGAATTTCATCTTTCACGAAGGATTCCTGTGTTGGTGAATCATAAACTTTTAAGTATTATGAAGAACTTGAAAAATCAGTGGTATTCAAAGAGCTCTGCACCACACTGAGGATGAATAGGCAGAGCCTGGGGAGCTCTGTGCAGCTCTGTTTCATTTATTTATATTATAAAGGGAGATTTTATTCAAGCAGAAGTCTTAAGGTTGAGCCATTCATTTGAAAATGAGAATTCTGGAGATACAAATACATACAAGACTTCAGTCCTTAGGGATCTTGCAACCTAAATAGGGAGACAAAAAAGAACTATCCTGTCCCTTCATGTATTGTCAACAAGAAGAAGCCTCACATAATAGGCTCATTCTTTTTGGATAGTCACTGAGACCCAGAAGTTAAGTGATTTGTCCAGGTAAGGAAAGACCCACCTAACTGGTGTCAGAGAGATGGCCCAGGTGTTCTGACTCTTTTCAGGTACATTTTCCCTTCTCACAGTTTCACAATGACTGGAATAATTTTTATGGATGCAAAGGTGAATGCATTTTTTGTAAACACTGTCTAAAAAAATACTATTTCAGCAGGAAAAAAATTAGTATATTTGGGTGATTGCTATATTGTCTTCAAAAAACCAAACCAAACCCACTGTCATAGAGTTGATTATGACTCATAGTGACCTCTGCTGGGTTTCCAAGGGGGTAAATCTCTATGGAAGGAGATTGCCCCATTTTCCTTCCACTAAGGAGCTGGTGGGTTTGAACCACCAGCCTTCTGGTTAGCAGTCAAGTGTCTTAGGCAATATGCCACAAAGTACCTCATATTTTTCCTCCACAGCAGTATACCACATATTGCAATTACATTGTATATCATCCCAATAATTGAATCTTTTGTTTCTAAGATCATCACCTTTCCCTTCTCTTTTGGATTATTACTGTCTGCATAAAATATGTTATATGTATCCTATATTCTTTTAAATCCCTCCTTTGATTCTATAATTACCTATTGTCCAATTTCTCTGCTCCCTTACATATAAAACTTTCTTCAAAGAGCTTTCTAAACTCACTGTGTCCAATTTTTCTCATTTTATTCTATCTTGAATCAATTTCTTTCCCCGCCATACCACCAAAATTTCTCTTTTCAAGAACACAAATGATTTACACTTTTTCAAACTCAATGGGCAATTTCCATGTAGGTCTATCTGTACAGAGAGGCTACACTGGACCTTGTGAAACATGCATTTCAATCTTTATAGGTGATACTCTTTGCTGAGTATTACCAAATTGTCGTTCTGGGTTTATTTATTTTTTTTAATCCACATAAATAGAAAATTATAAAATAAAGTGGATGATACTCTCCCCAAAAAAGAAATACTCTCACCGAAATGAAGGAGGATTATGTGAACATTAAGCATTAACAAATCAGTGGGACTCAAGTTCACCTCTAAGGGATGATGTTAGTCGTTTTTCCAAAAACAAGAACCAAAACCATTACTTTGAGTCTATTCTGACTCATAGCCACTGTGGTTTATTGTTGTTATGTACCGTCGAGTCAGACCTGACTCATAGCGACCCCTCCTAGGGTTTCCAAGGTGGTATCGGTACAGAAGTAGATTGCCCAACCTTCCTCTGAGGAGTGCTTGGTGGATTTTAACCACCAGATTTCTGGTTAGCAGTCAAGTGCTTTAGGCACTACGCTACCAGAGCTCCCAATCACTGTGGTAGTTAAGGTTATGTGTCAGTTTGGCTGAGCCTGGTTTTGAGTGGCTGGACAGCTGATGGTAGTTACTCTCCATGATGAGACTGGCAATCAACTCCATGGTAGAATCTGCTGTGAGCAGCAGAGTAGCTGTTTTAGAGATGTGGTCTGCTTCCTGTATATAAGGAGAAAATTTTGGAATGGTGTCTAGTTTTTGGCACACTAAATCCTGCATGTAGCCAAGTTGTTGTTCAGCAGCCTGCCATGTTGTCTGCCGATCTTGGGACTCTTAATGGGCTTGAATCAATGGCCTGCCATGTGCTTTAGTAATGTCAGGATTGTGCCTTTTTACTAGTTGACTTTTGGTTTATCAGCCTCATCAGCCAGCAGCTGCCTGAGTGAAGAAAAGCCCAGCTTTTATGGGCCAGGAACAAGAGGCAGAGGTGAAGCTTAAGGTTGAGGGGATTTCACCTGGCCTCTAGAGCATGGCAGTTTGAACTCAGACTTCTAGCCTCCAAAACTGAAAATAAACTCCTGTTTGTTCAAGTCACATTTGAGGTATATATCTGTTAGAGCAGCACCAGTTAACCAAAACAGCCACCCTGTAAAACAAAGTAGAATGCCCCTATATGTTTTCCAAGGCTGTATATCTTTTGGAAGCAGCAGCTACATCTTTCTCCCATGGAGCAGCTGGTGAGTTCTAACTGCTGACCTTTTGGTTAGCAACCAAGAGTTTAACCACTATGACACCACAGCTCCTTAGTTATTTTTGCAGTTATAATTATATATAAAAGCCCTGGTGATGCAATGATTAAGTGCTCAATTGCTAACTAAAAGGTCAGTAGTTCTAACCCACTAGTGGCTCCATGGGAGAAAAAAACCTGGTGATATGCTCATGGAAAGGTTTATAGTCTTGGAAACACTGTCAGGGAGTTCTCTTCTGTCCTATAGGATTGTTATGAGTTGGAATCAACTCAACAACACACAATAACAACAAATATATATAAATAGAGTTTCTTTAGTGAGAGGAGTGACAGACAAATTAATTTGCTTCTCTTCTTTACACCTCTACTCCTTAAAGATATAGGCATCTTAGAACCATGTGGAGAATTACCCTTAAAAGGATGGTAAAGAGCCTACTAGAATCACCAAGGATAGGCTTTTTTAGAAGGGTGCATGAGTAGTTCCAGTAGCTAGACATAGGGGTTTTGTTGAGAGGGTTTTTTTTTTTTTTTTTTTTTTGTCTTAAAGCAAAAGTTTTCTGCATCTTCTCTGATGGTGAAACCCCACAAAAGAAAGATAGTATGTCCCTGATTCTCTGGGACAATATAGAGCTCATGAATGTTCATGGAAATGAACTGACACAGTTGTCTTTAAGCTCTATAATCTCAGAAGCTCAAGCACAGAGCTTCTGCTGAATTATATATGACCAATTTTCAACAGCAATATTGTGATGGCAGTGAGAGAGTAGTAAACCTCTCCCACCTTCTACACATCTGTCTGAATTTCAGAAGCACACAGGGATTCTTGAATAATGTAGTGAAAAGGGAGAGCTTTACAAGGGATATTTTTGGTGTTTTTCTTACTTTATAAAATAATAAAACTCACTGCTGTCAAGTCTGTTTGACTCCTAGTAACCCCTTTTGGGTTTCCGAGGCAGTATCGCTATGGAAGTAGATTGCCCAATCTTCTTTCTGAGGAGTTGCTGGTGGGTTTGAACTGCCAGCCTTCTGGTTAGCAGTCAGATACTTTAGGCATTATGCCACCAGAGTGCCTTTATAAAATAATAGGGAATACATTCACTATTATTTTATAATAGTGAATGTTAATAGTGGGAGGCTTGAGGGATTAATTGGAGAAAAAATAGAACAGAAGCAAAAAAAAATTGAGATTGTAGAAAAGTTTTAACTTGTTACTTGGATAATAGTCTGTCTTTACACTGAAATAATTCATGCTGTAGTAGAAAATATGGCACACCAACATCATGTCAATACTGAGAAATATATGATAAGAATCACAAGAGATACATAGACCAAGCATCATAGCTATTGAGAGAAGGGAGAGAGGAAGGACATGATCAAAGGTGAAGAAGAAGCATAAGGTATTTGGAGGACAAAGCAGGATGAACTTACCTCCTGAAGCAGTGAGCTGCTGTGACGAGCCATGTGTTACTGATGAGGCTAGCTCCACACTGATGGCCCACCCCTATGAGCTGGAGGCTGGCCTGCCATGGCCACTCCCCATCCATAGCTGTTTTTCTTCCATGGATGATCCTTTCAGTAGAAGTAGATGGTGGTATTGGTATGTTTGAAGATGTCATCCTTATCCCACAGCCTGTCACAGAAATACATGTTTTATGTCAGAGAAGAAAGCATATCTTAATTGTCTTGGGTGGAGATGCTTAAGCAAACCATTGGCACTGCTACTGTTTAACTCATTCCTAGTACTCAGCCTCTGAGGACATTTTATAGGGGTCCTGCTGATCCTATTTAGTTTTAGTAATAACGTTTCAAGGTATTTAGTCCAAGAACTAACTTCTGTTTATCTATATAAAATATACATGCATGGATAGGTAATTAATTGAGCATCAAAATATATAGATCCTCTGATTAGTGGGTTTCTTTTTTTTTTTTTTTTACAGCGGCACATATTTCAGATTAGAAAATTAAACCTTGGGTCAAAAAGAAACTAAACCAAACTCACTGCCCTCAGATCGACTCATAGTGACCCCTCCTTGGGTTTCTGAGGCAGTATCACTAAGGAAGTAGGTTCCCCAATCTTCCTTCCCAGGAGTGGCTGGTGGGTGGAGTGGCCAGCCTTCTGATTATTAGTCATATGCCTTAGGCACTACTGCCACCAGATCTCCCAGACCTTGGATAGGAAATGTAAATTGCTGGAGATCTCCCACTAGTAAATGGCAGAGTGAAGTACACAATTAGGAGGATCTGAGACCAAAATCTATGTTCTTACTACTGAAGAGAGGCTAACACTGGATAGTAATAAACAAAATTAGAAAAAAAAACTCACTGCCATTAAGTCATTTTTGACTCACAGCGACCTCCTTGGGTTTCCAAGGCCATGAATCTTTATGAAAGTAGATCACCCAGTCTTCCTTCCACAGAGCAGCTGGTGGGTTTGAACCACTGACCTACTGATTAGCAGTTAAGTGCCTTATCCATTATGCCCGCCAATATATGCCGTAATTCACCCTTGACATGACTATGGATAATCCATATACTGTATCGCAATATTCTGTACTTCAAGAGTTTTAACTATATCATCTTTGTGTCTTCTAAAGTTTAAAAGACTAGTTAACAAGAAAATTCTATTACCTGGTATCTAACCTTTCACTGATTAGAATTCAACCCAACTTTAAGATTTTAAAGCGAATTAGTACAGTTTATCAATGTACCTTTCAATTATTTATATATTGATTAAAACCATAGGTTGTTTTGTTTTTTCAGAAAGGGGTTTGATTTTTGCTGTTAGTTGCCATTGAGTTGATTCAAACTTAGAGCAATCACATGTATGTGGAGTAGAAGTGCTACATAGTGTTTTCAAGGCTGTGGCCTTTTGGAAGCAGATCATCATGCCAGTCTTCTGAGGTGCCTCTGGGTAAGTTCAAACCACCAGCCTTTGTACCAGTAATCAAGTGCTTAACTATATTTACAACCCAGGGGTTCAAGGGAGTTCTAGGGGTTTAGTGCATAAAGCATTTCACTGCTAACCATAAGTCTGGCAGTTCAAACACACCAGCCACTCCTCAGAAGGAAGACTGGGCAATATACTTCTGTAGAGATACCGCCTTAGAAATCCAAAACATAGCTGCTTGAAATTATATATATATATATATATATATATATATATATATATATGGTCATCATATATATATGATCATATATATAGATAGTTATGTAATTCCCAGAGGATTAAATAGCTTCAGCGAACACTGTTTCTGATTAAAGTGAGTATAAAATTTAACGAATAGGGTTTCTAGGTTAACACAGTGTCATTTCAAAACAAACAGCTGCTGTTAGCTCTGTCCCACAACAAACCCATACGTGTCAGAGTAGAACTGTACTCCATTGGGTTTTAAATGGCAAAGTTTTTTTTGAAGATGAAAGTAGATCACCAGGCCTTTTTCCTGAGCTGCCTCTGGGTGGTCTTGAACCTCCGATCTTGATTAGTAACTGAATGCATTAACCATTTCCAATACCCAGGAACATAGTGCCATATTGGTAGTACCTGAATCTTCCTGTCCCAACTTCCTGTGACAATATACATGAATATAATAACAAAATAAATAACATCTGCTACAGGGGTCCCTATGAGTCAGAGCTGACTTGATGGCACCTAACAGCAATAGTTATGAGCAGGCATTGCATGTGATGTTACATGTATTTTCTCCAATTTTCAGAATAATCCTTAATAGTAGGTGTTACCATCTCTGTACAACAGATGAAAAATTTGAGTATATGGTACTGTGCAAAGGAAAGAGGAGCAAAATTACCAAACTTAATGAAAGTTAAAGACAAAAAAAAAAAAAAAAAAAAAAAAAATCAGTCACTTCAATGTCCAATGGGTTGGTTTGAAACGTAACTTCTTGGATGACCCAAGCGCTAATCTTTGGACTAGGACTATATGGAGACCACCAAGAGGATGGGAAAAGCTTCTGGCTTTTGTGACCCATCCCCTATTGTGATCTCCTAGTCCAGATGTAGTGTAGTTACACTATACTTGTCCCAGTCAAACTGTAACTATATTCCAAACCATTCAATTATGAACTGGTCCATGCCTCATCATCCCTTGTCTTTATCTATTTTGAAACCATAATTCCCATTATACCACTCTATCTATGGATGGAATAAAGGTGAGAAGTACTTTGAAAAATATAGTTACATCATGAAAAGCAATTTAAACATAGAAAGGAAGAGCATTGGCATTAGTGAGTGCTGGGCTTGACAGTGTGAAAGAGGTGGTTTGATGTAGTTTTCATATACTTAAGATCAGAACTAAAGCCTGCATCTAACTGATAGCATAGTTAGAGTCCACGCCACCAAAAAAAATTGAGAAATGGTTCATTGATGCCTTCAATAATGTACAAAACCTCTTATTAGTGCCAGGGCCCACTCTGAGCTCTAGAGAGGCACCAGTAACAGGATCTGTACTCTTTTAATTCTCCAACTCCAACTACAATAGTATAAGGTACTATATAGTTCAGCACAGCTGCATACTCTAAGTGTATGCTAAGCTTTGGAAATGGAAAAAGAACTAAATAAAACTAAATAAATTGATATAACTTTCAAATCTTAATTTGAAAGTTAGTTACCGGTCCATTAGGTAGACAATCTAAAGAGATTCCACATATTGTTTGTTGGGAAATGCTAAGTCTAGATTTATATCTTTAATTTTAAGAATGAAAGATGAAATAACCCAAAATCCAACACATTAACCAGTTGCCTATGAAAGAGTACCAAGGAGGCAGAGATATTTCTGAAAATTACTTTCTGCAGAAAATAAGTATTTTAGGAAACACATACTTGGTGTCAAAAAGACATGCAAGAAAATATGACTGTAATATAATAAAAGCAGCAAACCATAAATAAATAAAATGCTGTGATAAGAATAAATATAACAGGGTTGTTTGTGATTAAATAAATTTCAATGAGGTATAATAATAATAATAATAAAAACACATTCACTGCCATTGAGTTGATACTGAGTCATGTTGTTGTTGTTGTTAAGTGCTGTGGAGTCGTTTCCGACTCATAGCGACCCCACGCACAGCAGAACAAAACACTGTCTAATCTGGTGCCAGCCCCACAATCCCTGCTATACTTCAGCCCATCATCGCAGCCACCGTGTCAATCCATCTCGTTGAAGGCCTCCCCCTCTTTCGTCGACCCTCCACCCTACCAA